CTCCTAGATCTTTTGAGATTCATTGAACTTTTCAATGACATGTTTAATCTCGATTATTCCCTTCAAGTTTGTGACTGGGATACCGATGATCACAAACAAGGTGTGAATAACCATGCAAACTAGCTTGGTACTCTCGAGTATATCTATCACCTAATCAATGTGCCGGTTAACCACACACGCTCCATTGATCTATGATAATCTATGAGCTACCCATTACCATCCTTCATTAGTCCCATATTAGTGTGCCGGTTAACCACACACGCTCCACTAACGACCAACGAGGTGCAATGTGCAATTTAATGGATTAGCACCAAATTCACATTTTTCCTAAAGTAACTAAGATTTGGGAATTTATAAAAGCATTTAGTTACTTCGTATTTCATTATACTTATAATGAAAGTTTGTGTCCCCGTTCGGCTAACGACCCTCCACTGGTCAAGGGTGCGGTGGGTAAGAGTGGATACCCAATGACGGTCATTTTACAGGTCGCTTCCTTAAACACCCCTTATAGACCGGCTTCGTGAATGAGGCCTACTAACGGTAAGGATGACTTTTTACTTATACATATATAATATACTAGACTTTTAAATTTATATAGTATAAGGGTGTATTTTACACTTTTAAAATACTAGGTGGTTTAAACTGTAAATTAGACTTTTAATTTAATTAAATGTAAACCATACTATTATCGATTTATTAATTCTCTCTTTTAATTAAACACTTTATTAATTTAATAAAATCCATAAGGGTGTAATTTGAACTTTTCAAAACACTAAGGTTTTAAAATTTAATATTTCAAAATTAAAACCTTTTAATCAAATTTTAAATTCCAAAACTTGAGGGCAAATTTTGGAACTTTTGAAAATATTATGGTTTAACTATTTAAATTCTCAAAAAAACTAAAACTTTTAATTTCAAATTTAAACTATAAAACCAAAAGGGTGTAATTTAAAACCTTTTCAAAATTACTAGGTTAAACATTTGAATAAAAATAATCTTATATTATCCATATTTAACCAAATCCATCAATATTGATAATGATATCTCATACTAATCATAAAAATCGATTTTAGGCATTAAAAACGAGTTATGGTAATTATCCAAATAAAAAACTAGCCAAAAAATCGAAAATCCCGGCAACAGATTACACGACTCGTCGAGTCCACCCTGGAACTCGTCGAGTTCATGCAAATCGTCGAGTCCATACATGGACTCGTCGAGTAGGCCTGTCAGATAGCAAAATTCTCGACTTTTTGATCCTTTGGCAGTTCACTATGCATCTATTCAATTGAAAAACGACCTAGTCTCTGATACCACATATGGGTTTTGAGCATAACAACATTCCTATGGTGTACATGCAACCCTAATTGATTTGGATCTAGGTTTTTCTCTATTGAACATACAACAATGAATACCAAAGCAATAACCCTAAGAACTAGCATACACAATTCGAAAATCACATATGATCAGGGTTAAAAACCTTACCTTACTTGTTATATGGCAATAACAAGAACAGTCATTCTTGATCTTGACTTCTGAAAGCCTAGTGCCCCAAGTGTTGCCCCTCTAATGGCGTCACAAGTGTTATGGTCTTAGATACCTAATCCAATAATTACCTAACTAACTATTGGCTTAATTGACACCCCAGTACCTACTCCTTAACCCACTGACCCCTATGACCACTTGAGCTAAAAGTGGAATTTAACCTATTCAACACCTTAATCTTCACACTTCAACCATATCTCCTATTCACCAATCACACATATAAACTTTACATGACCCTGACTGGAAAAAGGGAATCAATGATGAATATCATGTGCTAATTTTAAATAATACCCGGACTCTTGTATCACATCCTTCCATGGTTAATATTCTCATATCTATGTGGCTTTTCTGCCACAATTTTCATGTTAATGTTTCATTTTCATGTTACTAGTCCACACCTATGGAAAACGATCATAGTATGCATGAAGGAGTTGACTGTAATTAGAATTAAAGCTCAGTAGTGAAGGATGCTTCTTTTCACGATCATCTTCATGTGATTGTGTTCATGCATCAACTTGTGGTGATTATATTCATGCATCAACTTCTTGGGTTTTAGTACACATGTTATCCAAACAATGTATGTTGGTTGCAAAAGTCGCTATATGGACTTAAGCAAGCCCTAAGGACATGGTACTATAGGTTCACACAACATGTTTCATGACTAAGATTCCAACACATACTAGTCCTTCTTTGTTTATTTACTGAACATCGCATGACACTGCCTACTTTCTGCTTTATGTAGATGATATCATATTAACAACTTTGTCAATTACACACTACGATTGATCATCTTTCAGCTTAGTAATGAGTTCTTTATGAACGATTTGGGGGTCTTAACTTATTTATTGGATATTTTAGCGATTTGTTTCTCCATCGCTCAGTTAGTTTTAAAACAACAATATGAGATTGACATTGTTACACGAGTCAACATGATCTGATACAACCCATGCAAGACCTTATCCGAACATGATCATAAGCTTGCCACCAGCGTCCCTCTGTTATTGATATGACCATGTATCGTAGCTTAGAAGGAACGCTTTAGTATCTGACATTTACTAGACATAACATATCCTTTTCCATCCAACAAGTTTTCTTATATATAGTCAAAATCCTTGGCAACTACATCTACATGGTTTAAATACATATTGCTTTACCTTTGCGGCAATCTTGACCATGGTCTATAGTTTCATGTATCGCCATCGACTGACCTAATTTCCTATTCCGATGCCAACTAAGGGATGCCAACTCACATGACGATCTACTCCAAGTTACTATGTGTTTGAAAGGGATTTCCAACCTACTTAGAGAACTCAATTTCCCTTCCATAAAGGCCACAATTTTTTATTATGACAACATAAATGTTGTTTACGTGTCCTCGAATTTGGTACAACATCAACGCACTAAACATATATATATATATATATATATATATATTATATATATATATATATATATATATATATATATATATATATATATATATATTGACATTTACTTTGTTCGGGTACAAAGTTACTATTGGACACATTGACATTCTTCATGTTCCATTAACCACCAAGTATCATGAAATATTTACGAAAAAGCTCTACACATCGTTATTTTTATATTTTTGGTCTAGTTTCAACATCCGCCAGACTATTCCCTAATCAAAAGATGGGGGTTGTGTTATATATATTAGCATATATTAATTTGTATTAGCCTTTAGCACATAGCCTTGATTATTATGTATATATTATGTTGTAATCATTATGTAGAGTCAAGGAAAATCATTTCATAATAGAAATGAACCAATGAACTTTATCAACTTGTATACAAACACCTATTTCCTAGTGTGTCTTTATTAAAATCGTGTTTGTATATATTTTTTATAAAAACATGTTTGAACAAATGCATGTTTGTATACATTTTTTTTATATAAAAATGTGTTTTTATTAAAACGTTTTTGTATAAAAATATGTTTTTTGACGTATATATAGGTATATTATGGTATTTTAAAGTTTTTTTTTTATAAATTGATATTTTTCATACAAAAATGTTTTAAAATAGGTTTTATATAGATATTTTGCATACAAAAATGTTTTTTAAAATAAAAGTTTTTATATAGAAAAAGAAGGTTTTATTTGAAAAATATTTTTATTTTTTGTATAAATATGATTTATACAACATACAAAACATATTCAAAACAAAATTTTGAAAAAAAAGGTGTAAAAAATTAAATTTAGGTTGAAATCGTAACAAAATTTTGAAATTTGGGCAAAAAGTGTAAATTTTAGACTAAATTTGTAATAAATTTCAAATCTCAGCCAAAAATGAAAATTTTGAAAATGATATGGCCTGTTGACCAGGCAAAAGGGACAAAATGGATACATTTTTCAGTTTTAGGACTTAGTTAAATAAAAAAACATATTTTGACTAAATCGATTATGAAACCAACGCCCAAGGCAAGTTCAGGAGGTGCCCATGAACAAGGCCCATCCTTCACAAGGGCCCAATTTTTTAACCTTATGTAGTAGTTCATCCATTAGGTGCCCAATTTTCTGTTTAGGTTAGCTTCTCACCTTTATTTCTAAATAATATGTTGTATTATACATTTTTTTGGTCATTCATCCTTTCTAATTTTCATTTTTAACTTTTAAGAGATAAATGTTGTATTTAATTATGATTTTAACATCTCTTCTAATTTTGATTTTACAAAATTTTAGTTTAAATAGGACAGTCATCGAGAATCTAGTTTTATATGTTTTTTAATAGGTAAACTACAAATAAGGTTACCAGTTCTAGATTATATAGATTTTGAAAGGGTAATTAACAATTACGATTATATCTTATCATCACTTTTGAATTTGAAATTCCAATCATCCCAAATTTTATTTTTCATCTTTCTGATTCAGATTTTCACATTTTGTGAATTTGATTTGATTTTTCTCAGAGCAGGAAAAGAGAAATGCAAATAAGGTGGTATCCTAATACATCTATTATAGAAAAAGTTGGGTTTGAATAATAACAATTTATAAGTAGAAAGGAGTTTATTATTATTTTTGTTTTGTACCAATGTACCATTTGGAATGAAATTTTGTCTTTTATATATATTACGAGTTTAAATGGCAGATTAGAATTTTTATTGTTTATTTTTTTAGAATTTTCAAGATTTAAGGCCCTTTTTAACTAAATTGCATAGGGCCTCTCTAAATTCTTGGGGCCGGCCTGAACCAAAATGTAAGGATTTTCATGCATATGAAACCAAATCGATTATGTTTGTACGGATGCCTGTACAAACATATATTTAGAACCATAAAATAATATATAAATTCAACTTAGAATGCTACGTACCAACCACAACTTAAAATGCAGATTTATATATATATATATATATATATATATATATATATATATATATATATATATATATATATATATATATATATTTTTTTTTTTTTTTCTAAAAACAAGTACTTGGCTACCATGATGGAAAATGGACCCATTATATGTATAAACAACATGACCCGAATAACAAACATAATTCAACAACTCTCTCTTTATAAATAGAAAGTTCAAACCATGATTCAAACTCACACATACATCATGTTCATCTCCAAGCATACCTTGTACCTTGTACATGTACAGAAGAATCCGAGTTATTGTCCCAACAATGCCATCAAAAAAGCCCCATAATCTGCAGAAGTCTCGTCTTTAACCAGCTTGTCAAGGCTTGTTTTGTGCATATCCAAATATGCTTTTTTCACTTTAATTAGATCTATTTCAGCTCGACTTATAATTGCTCTTGTTAGCGCATCTTCATCTGTACCCCAACCGTCAGTTGCAGCTTTGATCACCTGCTCATATTCCAAAACAAGAGATGTAAATTTATATAGTGATGGTGCACATAAATAAGAAGCAATAAAGCAACTTGGTTTTCTTCTCTCTAATGGCAATTGAATTACCTCAACAAAATGTCTCTCAGGGGAAATAATGCATTTAATCACAATTATCACCAACGATACCAATAGATCATTGCTGTAATCCTTGATATCCTGTCAAAACAATCAACTTCATTGTAAAACTATATACACAGATTCAGATTCATACATCAGAATAAGTGTTCGCTGAAGCAAGGGCAATTTTGGAATTTTACTGCAAAAGATAAATTACAAGATACAACATTTCTGGCGATGTGTCATTCCGTTTGATTTTTAGTGTCGGGTCGTGATGTGGTGTTTTTTATTTCCATCTTTGACATTGTACTTAGCCAGCTCTTTGGTGGTCCCTTTGTTTTTTTTTATTGATTATTGGCCGTTAAAAAAAAACTCTATACAAAAATCAACCGTTTGTTGTGTTGTAGGGAAAAAACATCATAAAAGCATCTTTCTATATATAGATGGAATTTAACTTAAAACCAAAACACATCTAGCTATGTCAAAATCATCCTGAAAAGTGTTGAGTTTTGAACATTCAAAGTAAAAAGATATGACTCTAAGGAGTTATGGAAAACAAATGGTTGTCAAGAGATTAAAAGACACTTAACCTCGTGAAGGAGAAATCCATATTTTTTATGGTAGGATTCGAACGTGGCTTTGAGCTGGAACACGTTCCTCGTGCTAAGTATCCACATAACAATATCCTGATCTAATTGCTTCAATTTAACAGCTTCTTGTAACTTGGATGCTTCATCATCTGCCACATCCAAATCTACAACTGCCCCATCGAACCTGAAGGAACTTACCAAGCAACCTAGAATCTGCATTAATGGAAGAAGTTAATAAAAATATGGATTTTTTTGATTCAAAAGTCAAAACGGAAACAAATACCTTTCTCACAGATGGTGGGGCATTAACGATTATGTCTTCTTCGATTGAACATTCAAAGAGGGAACAGTAGCACTTTCTTACAGCGAGCAGATGGTGAGGAGACGACGCACAAGAAACTTCGATTATTACTTTTAGTTTATCAAGGCTTTTATTCTTGGACTTTAACGCTTTGTTCACAAGCCTCGCATCTCTTTCTGCTGGATCGTATGTCCATAAGATCACTGCTCTCTGTAATATGCATATGTTATATTATATCTTCACATTATTATATGTGTTTCTTCTCTCCCTAGACAAACTGCATGTTTGACTTTTTAATATGTTCAAATGCAGAAAAGAACATACCCCAAAATCACCTGAAAGCTCAGAATCAAGAGAATCAATGAGGGATTGATTGTATAATTGTTGATAAGTGTCTCGAATGATCTTTCGTTGAGTTGCATTCCTATGAGCCAATACTTGAATCACAGCCTTCTCATCAGTTCCCCATCCTGAAACCCACACGTTATCTTGTTAGTTAATATTCTTCCAAATCTCATCAGAAAAATCAAAACGTTTAATATAAAAGATTCACACAATTTTCTGTAACTGTGAGATACAAACTATATCATTAAATCTGTTAAGGTGTGTGTGTGTGTGAGAGAGAGAGAGAGAAAGTCAGAGAGAGATCGGTACCTTTGAAAGCTTTTCTAAGCGTTTCAGAGTCTTGGGTAGGAGAAGGAACTTCTTGTGGTACTGTGAGAGTAGCCATTGTTAATTTGTCCTTCCTGTTTCTCGTTTGATGGAACGGAGAGGGGTAATAAACAGAAAATCTTATTTTTATATGCTTAGTCAGTCGTTTTGGCATATAACCATGACTTTTTATTTATTATTAAAGGATAATGTTTATATTTGTTAAATATAAGAAAACATAAAGTATTATAATAAATTATATCAATATGAGCCATTGATAAGAATTCGTGGATATCCTATGAATATTGAAGGAACCGAACAAGTCACCTGTCACCAGGAGATCTCATACAACGAATTAAAAGTATATTGACAGGTGTAAAATTATTAATTTCTAAAGGGAGTCTATTTCATTAGCTATAAGTTTATTTATCTTGTAATATTCACGTAAATAGTACATTCATTGATCTGTTGACACATTTTTACGTTTAAAATAGTTAATTTAGACAACATTATGCGATTGGTCTCTTGTTTACTACTCTTAACCAGTGGTGAGTCTAGAATAGAAACCATGTAGTTCCCTAACCGAGTTCAACCAGTCGGGTTCAATAGAAAATCGGGCTCAATTGGGCCGGTTCACCTAGAAAACAGTTCAATGTGTATAAAATCGATGGTGAAAGGACCGAGCTCAAATCGGTCATTCACTAAACAATTTTTTGACTAAAACCAACTTATATTTAGAATAATTGGTCTAAACGAGGCGTCAACAAGCTTAAGGTGGGTAAATGTCCAAAAGGAAGCATTTATTTATAATGAAAAACTCACTCACCATTTTTCTTTTTGGAGACCATGTAGGACTCTTTCATTCCATAAAATATGACTTGTCCTCTGTTGTCTATAGTTTATATCTTTTTCATTTATTTTTGTAAAACACTTTAAGATAGGTCCTTCAAAAAATTTAAGGTAGGTCATAAATATTTTTTTTATATATATCTTGTTTGTAAAAAAAAATTTAATTTAGGTGGGTCAAATGACCCACCTTCGCATACCTTAGCATCGCCTTTGCTCTTAACAATCTGCACAACTATGAAAAACGTAACGTGCTTTGCCCATGTGGTTTCCAAAATTGCACGTATGGTCCTTTTCGGCAACGCCATCAAGCTGGCTGATGTGGCTTCCCATTTGGCAGGTGACTGGGCTAACCGGAGGCTTAGTGACTTAAATGGCTTGCCATGTCAACACAAAACACCTCACATCTCACCTTAACCTTTATGTTATCCCACGTTGATTTTGATCCTCACTTTCTTTCACACTTGTAAAAGCGAAAAACTGTCTCACCTTCCCCCACATTCAGCTACCTCCTCAATGACGATCTTCATTCTCCTCACTAAGTCTCTCCTCTTCCTCCCTCATTTAGATGTCTCTTCACCGTCGGTTTTCATAAGGGTTTAACAATGTTTGAAGAAGGTTTTCATAAGAGTTCAAAAGGGTTTTAGAAGGCTTTAAGAAGGGTTTTTAGACGTCGAGTTCTTCTAATCCTAGGTAAAAACTAATCCTTCATGTTTGATTTTGTACTTGTAAACAAGATTTTTCGAATCAAAAGCATAAAAAAACACTTAATATATTAATCCATTTCAACAAAATACAAAGTTATATTACAAGCTTTAAACTATAAAGTTTCAACCTTTCAAAAAAAATCTAAATTAACCAACAAAAAAACTTTCACCCTTCCCCCAAGCAGTGTAGAGTTTCCTTTCTCCTCTCCAATCATTCCTCAATAACCTCCACCAAATTCGAAAACTCCACAACGATTTCCATATCATTTCTTTTGCACTGACTGAGGTGTGCTTGTTCCATGAATTAACCTTCTTCTCGAGGGAGGGAAGTCAGTTAATTGCTCCGATAATTTTCCCTTTTCTTCAAACCCTATTAAGATTTCCCTCGACATAGGCAAAAAAAGGTTATATTCTTATGGCCTTTCTAAATATCATGTTTAATTTAGTAAATATGCATCCAAGCCTTATTTAATTAGTTTTTGAATTGGATAATTATTTTCTAAGGAATTAATCAAAGTAACTAAAAGTCTATTTATTTAGATGGTTCCAATCACGATTACACCTACACATGCACCCTTTAACATGCCAAAAAACTTTTATTTACTCCAAATCCTCTCGAGAGAAAAACTGACATGCCCTAACTACCTTGATTGGATTTCTGCATTGAGAATCACTCTCATGTACTTGAAAAGGGAATATGTTTTGGACGAGGATGTCCCTAAGGTTGCAACCATTCGAATGAGCTTGCATGACTTATGTTAGCGATCATGATTTCGAAACTCCAAAAGAATTCCGTGAATCTTGAGGAATTTAACATGGCGACTCAGCTCAATGTAATGTTCCAAGAGCCAGCTAGGCAAGAACGATTCGACATCGTCAAATCCCTTCCAAAGAATGTATCTCTATATATCAAACGGATCCTACATCCGATACTATCTTACCTGGTTGTTCCTTATCAACTATACGCCAGTGTTCTTTTGGGTTTATTGATAAGTATGATAAAAATATTATAACAATTACACTTTATAAATATGAACGAAATACTATGTAAGAACCCAAGATCAAATACAAATGTTCCAAAATCAATGTATCATAACATCTCAAAAACATGTCACCGAAGGATGTGTCTGATCTGTCCTTTGCTTGTCCCCAATCATCTGAAGTACCTGAAATATAAAACTTAAACTGTAAACCAAAGCTTAGCCAGATCCTGAAAATACCACCACACAAACATATAACAACAAGCATACTTGGCCCATAACCATCAGACTGGATCACCCCTGAGTCCACATCATGAGTCTGGCTTGCCTTTCTGGCCCACAGCTCAAGTCTGGCATGCCTATCCAATCCACAGATTATGTTTGGCTTCCTCCCATGTTTGTTGGCTTCCGCACAAAGCAGCATTGCCTCAACCCAGCCCCACTATGTCGACATATGAAACAGATAAACATATAACCAGCAAACAGATAATCATACAAATCTAACAGATCACTACAACATATGAACATCCTATATACCTAATACATAACCGAATGGGCCGGCATTGGTACCTTCGACCCATGAGTACAATCAGGAAACTCACCTCACAGGCTGAAAAAGATATCAGAAAAGAACGTTGCTCCGGATGTCAAATCTACATGTCACCTATTTGACAAACAGTGAACTAAACTCAAATTACAACTCAACATACCCAAAATGCCCCTAAGTCAAACTTAGTCAAACCCCAAGTGAAAGGTCAAAGTCAGCAAGTCAAAAAGTGAAAGGAAGGTCAAGCTGGATGAGTACTCCCTGCGTACTCTACTACTATGTTGGGCGTAGTCGCAACATATTGAAAACCACGGGACTCTAACCCAGTATGCGCATCATACCCATTAATAAACCCAACATACTCTGTCTAAACCCAAAACTTCCTATTAAGAGCTTATTCCTTAAATACCTCTTGTCCAAACTCAGATCTAGACCCATAATATCATTCTAAGTCATAAAGTTTCCACCTTTATGAATTTCAATGGCTAGACAAGGTCCAAAAGCTAAAAGCCTAACTTAATAATCTATTAAGACCTCATAACTCTTGCATGTAAGGGATAGAAGGACCAAGATCACATTTTTATGATTCCTAACACCTAAAAACGTCTGAAAGGACAACTCTTCTGGTTATAGTAACCCATACTCATGAACACCAAGCTTATGGGACCTAAATGAACACAAACTCAAAACTAGAAAGATCTAAGGAAATACTCATCAATTTTCAGACTTTATACCTCCAAAGGATGCTTGTGGGTGAAACACTTCTGGATCTAAAGTGCCTTAAGTTTCCAATTGTAACATCCTGATTTCCAAGGCATAAAATTTATATATGTGAGTATGAGTTTGCCTGGGGTGACTCGACGAGTTGGTGCCTCCACTCGTCGAGTAGGGTCGCGTCTGGGTGATGTGGAAAATGAATGGACTCGACGAGTCGGAGGGATGACTCGCCGAGTCAGCGCTGTTGGCAGAAACACTAATTCTTTCGGGTCTGGACCTATTTAAAGGCACTTAAGGCCACCTATTACGGCTACCCTTCAGAGGAGAGAACCGTAAACGGCTCCTGAGTGCTTTGGGCAAGAAAGAGAGCCATGTTGAGCTTCTTGGTGGGTGTCTTGCAAGGAAGAGGAAGGTTTCAAGCCAAAGAGACCAGAGGAGGTTGTAGATCCGCGATTTGCAACCAAGGAGCATCAGTTGGAGGTATCAATTCAGACCCCTTTCTTCCCTATTTGAGTAGATATTTCTTTTGTGGATTAGGGCTTGTATTACCTTCTTGGTGGGGTTTTGAATGCATCAAACCCCTCTTATGAGCTGATAGCATAGATCTGGACCTTGGAGGGTCCAGAGAGTTCGAAAGTGGGAAACCATGGTGGAGCAACCATTGGGCTTTGAAGCTAGGAACCATTAATGGAGTTTTTATGGTTTATAATGCAAAATACACCATGCATGGACGTCAAGATCGGACCTTTACGTGACTTTTGGGTAGTAGGAGGTTAGATCTATGAGTTAGAGCTACAAATCTGACCTCAGGTGGTTGAGTGAGTAACCCAATGGAGCCAACTCGCCGAGTCCATGGGATGACTCGACGAGTTGTAGCGGGTGTGACCCAGTAGCCTTGGCCAGGGTTGACTCATCGAGTTGGGAGTCAACTAAGTGAGATGAGCGAACCCTAGGAAGATCATGGAGAATTCGAGGGGAATCGACGAGTCACAAGTGTGCACTCGGCGAGTCAGGTCAACATAGAATGTTGACCCAGGTTGACTTCTGTTGACTTCATGAGTGGACCAGTAAGGGGGCAGGTGGGGCCAAGGAGGGGTAAAATGGTCTTTTACCCATCCTGAGGGTCAAAAGAGGAAAAGAGGATTTTAAGTATAAAGTGTAATAAGGCAGATAATGATTGAGATGCTTGTCTTATGTGTTAGGCGGAGGCTAGTCCAAGATTTCCGAGTGCATGTCGGTTACCTGGTAACCGAGGTGAGTCTTCTCACTATACTTTGCCTAGAGTGGTATTTATGTGTGACCGGAAGGTCTTATGTGCTTATTTGAGTTATGCATCTTTACTATGTGATATTATGCTATGAG